GAATCTATTCTACAAGAAACTACCAGTTCTCTAGCCTACAGCGCAACATAGCTCAGAAGATACTTTGAATTCTCAAAGAAACAACTGCAGAAATACTTGTGACTTCTTCTGTCCTTTGAAAGGTGTGGTATTGAGCCCTGTAAAGTAATCTTGGTGCTTTGAGAACTGGGCCTTAAGGTTTGGTAGCACTTCTTCCTAGCTACTTCATTCAACATAATCACCTTCATTTTTCTGGATGAAATCTGCTGCTTTTTCACCAGTGTATCTGACCCAGTCTTCACACAAAAACAGCAGAACACAGTACTCTGAGTTGTCAAAGAGAGAAAACAGAACTGGTTATATCTGTGGGCAGTATCTATGTTCACACTGCTTTTTGGCTCTCTCATATGGCCAGCCACAAAAATAAAAGCTAAGTGCCTGAAAATGGCGCTGGAAATCTGCACTAACTGGTTTGAAAGGAAAGGACACAGTAGCTTAGCCACATATGTGTAGTTTGAGAGCACTAAAGACACAAATACCAGCACATGTCAAGGGGTATTACAAGTGGTACTACAGGATTCAGTATCATACATCAATAAATTCCAGAATTTGTGGACACAGCAACAATCTCAGTGATGCTGATGAAAGCTTCTTTCACCACTTCATAATCATTCCAAACACTTTTGGTTATTGCAAATTACAATTGTAGTTATTAAACTACAGTGCCTGCACAGAGAAAAGATCTCTTACGTGTAACTATGTTCTGCCTCTTTACTGCTCTGGCTGGATATAATACTATCATCTTCCTGGTCTTCACAATATTCAGTAAAGCCTCTCCTTGTTAACCTGAAGGGTGGACAGTCTAAGCAACCATAATTTATATGACACACATACACATAAAAGAACTCCACCTGGAGCGTGAAATCACTTTTGTGAGGAGCACTGAGGGCAGTCACTAATGCACAGGCATAGTCTAGGTTTTACAAAACATCGTGCAGTGTTACAAACATTTCATTTTGTCTGCAGTGGACAATAATCTGTCACCTCTGGATATGAAACACAAAGAGGCTTTTAGCCCTGGAGACCAAAACCCCTACGACCCACAAAGGAAGCCATTACAACTGTGTCTGCAGTTTTCTATCTAAGTTTTAATCCCCTCCATGGACACCATGTATGTGGCAAATAGCAAATATTCCTTAGGTGACCAAAATACTGCCAAAGAGTGACAAAGTAGCCCCAAGTTTCTTTCTTTCAAGAAGAGTTTTACTTTTGTAAAAATATCATGCTTGTCACATCTGAAGCAGTTGACAGGACTGATCTTTCACTGAAAAATTTCACCTGAAATTGGAGCAGGCGATGTTTCAGTCTGAAGACCCAGGGAATTTTCTCTTTCATCCTTCCAGCCTTGTCACACCATAGGCATTTATTTTAACAACCATCCTGACATACATTTAAAATACATATTTGCCTCAATCAAAAATCTGGGGATCAAGGCTTCTTATTTAATGCTGGGGAATGACTCATTGTGCCTCAAATGTCTGACCTGGTGAGGCATTACTAAAGATTTGTAACTATTTACACTAAATAAATACACATATCAATTATAAAAGTTGTTTGCTCTGCAAATGCAGGGAGGGGTCTCAGATTTCCAGTAATTCCCCTTCACCCAGTCCTACATGCTCACCAGGTCTTTATTATTACAGGTCTAGGGATTCCACACATCCAAGCCTGATAAAAAGAGGATGGGTTAGTTATGAGACCACAGGGAAGTGGAAGCCAGTGTTTCAGCATGCTTCTCTGCTTGGGGCTAATAATAATTCTAAGGACTTGGTATCAGTTCAATCATGTTTTTAAACAGTATGGCTTTCAGCTAGCTAACACATAGGTGCCAGCATGCTAATGATTCCCCTCCAGAAAGCTCTTCTACAGTCTGCCTTCAACAAAGGCATTAGTTGACAGTGTTTTCTTCTCCTCTGATGCTTTTTCCGTACTACTCGAGAACTCTAGGTCTAGGAAGGGGACATTGTATAGGTATCATTTGGAAGTTGCTTTCCTCTAATGGCTTGCTAGATCTTCAGCCTGATGAACTTAGTTCTAAACACGGTTGTTTTCAAGGGTCTAATTAATTGATTAGTATTTGTCACAGGCTCTGTAGGCAGTATGGCTGGAATCCTGACCTGGATTTTGCTCTCTGGGAAGATCTGCAGTTGCCAGGGCTATAAATAACAGTAGTAAACTTTTAGACAAGGATCTTCCCCTTGGTTATCAATGTGTTCTTATGGAAGGCCAGGATCAACCTGAAATCATCTCTTTTGGTAGCCTCAATGTTTGCACAATGCCTATTTACATTACACCTGGTTCATACCAACACAATGAGCTACTGACTTTCATTATCACTACATTACTAAGCTTGAAAGAATGTAACTGTTAGAAATCAAGGAGGATCCCACAGCACTCCTCTGTTGAGAGCAATAAATCTTCCTCTGCAAAGCACCTGTACTTTCTTAAACCTCAAAACCCAGAGCCAGCCTGAACGGAGATAGGAACAAGGGCATGTGCAACATGAAACCACCACAATAAGGCATTAGCAAACACCTTCACACAGGCCTGTGAACTGGAAGGCTTTCATCATGCCAACTCAGCTTCTTAGCTAGCTTCCACAGAACCTAAAACTCATCTGCCAAAATCGTCTGTAAGGGTTATGTCACCTCCACCCAAACATCATCTCTTTCCCATAATGAGCTTAAAAAATACCAAGAATACCTGAATATTTCAAAGTACTTCTTTAAATGCAATTATTATTTAATGAAAATATAGGTTCTAGACAAATAATTTGTGAGTTATGAATGTGATCAGTTTTGTAATTAGTGTTTCCCCATTAACAAGTGGCCTATGGCTTACTTGGTCCTCAATATATTTAAAAGGTTTGTCTCCTAACAATCTTACATGAAGGCTACCATAACAGTCTGTGACTTGTTCTTACAAATAGCTATTTATCATGAAGCCAGAAAGCATACCTAATTCCTGAGCCCTTCTGCACATGGAGAAAGACACAGTATACGATATCTGACACTGAACTGGGCTGCTGAAGATCTGCACTCCCTTACTTGATTTCATGCTTAGGGACTGCATCACATTAGAGTTCTTTTGATTATTAAGTAGATTGAGTTTACTGGTGTTTGCATAAGCTCCTTGAGGCAGACGCTGTCTACTCAGTGCTTCTACAGTCCTCAAGGAAAGGATTCTCTCCTTTGTAATTGATTCCTCTGCAGGTAACTGCAAAGAAAGTAGCATACGACTAGTGACCTTGCGAAAACAGACCAAGGGGAAGACTCATAGAGTGTATTTCTTCCTCTCACCTGTTTTTTAATGACTTCAAATACCTGAAGGACAGATTCTGTGAAGGACACACATCCTAAGGCTTTCCAATGAATGGAAGAAAGTGTACTCAGTTCTGGTTTTCTAGATTATGCACTAGCTGTGCATATGCACCCCTCCCTTCTACATCAGTCTCTTAACAGATTTTTTTTTAGCTTAATCTCTACATTTTGTATTATCTGGCTTTTTATTTGGGTGAACATCTGCTGTATGCATCCTAAATAAAAGTTGGCTGGATAGATGGAATAGAATTAATTGCATGAGATTATGGGGATGTTGCTGATGCTCCTAGATAATGAGTGAGACTCTCCCAAAAAGGTGACTGTTCCAATATCCCAATTTCTACAGTTTCACAGAATTAATAAATTGATATTGGTTTCTTTCCAGGTTTTGCATTCACCTGACACTTCCAACCTTTTTGCCATACACAGTAACTTAAACAAACAACCTTATCCTACCAAACCCATATTACTCTAGGAGCCAGGACTTTCATTACACTAGTGCTTGGGTCTCACTGAAAACCACCCTGTAATGCATGACCCATTCTCAAACTGAGCAAGCTGGCAGACCTGGTACAATAGGGGGAAACGATCTGTGTTTCAACTGTGCAATTTATTGCTCACCAGTCACAGCAGACTATGATTCTCCCTGTACAGTTTTATTACATTTTTGAAGAAACAGTATGTAGTATGCACTGATATTTCCACTGATTGTTAGTAGAATCTAGACAAAAAAATTGGTATCCTAGAAACAAGCAGATTGTACATTTCCATATCAGAAAGGGGATCTGTGACATATTTACAGCCTGCAAGTGCCTTATCCAACATCTCAATTTATTTCCTGCACAATTGTTTGAGAGATTTTGGTCATGGGAATTCTGCTGTTTGTCATCTCAGGCATGAAGGATATTAAACAAAGTAATCAACTCAATAAGCTCAGAAATACAGGCTGTTTTATCACATCAGAACCACATACTGCTGTTCTTACCTCTCTCAGAAACAACACAAGTTTGTCTGTGAACACTGCAGGTGGAGATAATCCTTTAAAAACTGTTGGACAGAGATCCCATAGGAATGCTTCAGTTTATTGTATTCATTGCTTCCATTTGCTATTCTTTTTTTATTATTTATTTTTTTAATAGAAGATGCTATGAGATTTCATGTGCTTGCTCACTCTTGGCTGTGGTCACAGACACAAACACCGTGGTTAGACTTCAAAAGCCATAAAGTGGCACTGACTTTATTTCCTTTGAATATGTCTGCAAATACATGGGGCATTTTCAGTTTTCTCTGTAAAGGTGAACTCTTGCCATGTCGCTATTCTGAACAAAACACAATTCACCTTACCATAGCTCAACACGCACAGGAAATCAAGTAGGGCAGAGATAACGTACAAGAAGGCCAAGAAGCAACATACTTGAATACCTTATCCACTAAAGTCACAGCAGCAATCGTGAAAACAAGATTACTAGCTTTACAGGCAATTTTGCAGCTGCCTGGCTTGCTATCAACGGACCTGGTGTTCTTGTACTAATAGGAACTACTGTGGAAGGCATAGAATAGCAGAAGCCTACTTGCTAAAAGGAAAAAAAACCCAGTAACTTTCAAAGGTGTGAAAGGGAAATTTAAAGGCCCTTATCTGTACTTATCTATGAGCAGTGCTTTTAGCTCATTTTACTAAGCATTAGCCTTGCTTGAAACAGTGAAAATAAATGACATCCTCTAACTGCATTAAGGCCAAATATTCATAAAATGATTTTATGGATTCTTATTTAACACCCTGTTCTGCAGGGGGTTGGTGTAGCTGCCTTTCCTTGCAAAAACTTGCTGTCACCACATTCACTCGTTTCTGCAGTCCTTGTACCATTACTCTGGAGTCTGCTCATATTAACTAATTATAAGTATTACTGAGTTTTGTAATTACAGCCTTCAGTGTTTCAATTTCTAACCAGAACTGCAGTGTCTGATTCAGTCTTAACTTCCACTGTATGAAACAACTGTGGCTTTGTAGCATACTGCAGGAGACAGTGCCCCATTTGGTTGGGATTAATAACAGCAGGTATGTTTTCCTGGTTATCTCCATTCACCTGAAGGAATTACAACTTTATTCCACAGGTCTTAAGATCTTCCTCCCTGACTTCAGTGACTAGCTTTACTCAGCATTTAAGGAGCACCATAAATGTTATTCCACAATAAATCAACACCAGTAACTAAAATATTTGCTCAAAAGATTTAAAAAAAACCCCAAAACTTTAGCAAAAGCAGTCCTCTAGACTTAGACAGAAACATTAAAAACTGTTGAGAATCAGGGAAATGAGGATGTCCCTCACTAAGTTTGTACTTTGCTGCCGTTACTCAGATACATGATCAAACTACATCAACTACGTTACTTTCTACTCTTCAGCTGAGCCATGGTGACAGTCAGTAGTATCTGGTCTTAGCCTGTAGTACAGACAATAATACAATTGAATTTCAACAACATATATTGGCCAGGCTTGATGTTGACCAAGTCAACAGCTACAGGACAACTTGTTACCTTGGTGCAGCTTAATTGCAGAGCTAAGCCTTACATAGCAACTGGTATGGGAGAGTTATCAATCCCTGAACTCTGTAGAAGCAGGCCTTACATCAGCTCTACTAACAGCAACAAAATAATATTAATAAAAACCAAGACAAGGGACAGTAACAACTAGCACTTGTGTTTAAAGTAGCTTAGATAATGCTTAATCAATAAAGCAATACTCCATATCAAGGGAAAGTTTATGGTCCTAAACTCACCACAGTACTGGGCTGAATTCACTAAACCAACGGCCCATGGAATTGTGCTGACACTGCTCTCTGTGACTGTAGCATTTTATCCTCCAATTGATAATACCACCATCTGCCACATGAGATTCATTCCAAATCACTATAGAAAGGTGCTCTGAAGGGCAGAGGCACAATCCTCTCTCTATAGGCTCCATAGGAGAGAGGAGATTTCAGGCTAGTTTCCAGACAGATACAATTAAGGTTTTCCAAAGAGGGATCTCAGGAGCTTTTACAACATGTGTGTTCCAGTTCTTCAACAATTGTTCAGCAATCCCTCACCAAAATATTCTATTAAATTCAGAATTTTTAAGTAAAATATGTCAAGAACAGTTAGAGTTAGTGGTTTACTGGTGTTTCAGTACTTCCAGCAGAGTCCCTCTACAGCACAGCATGAGCTGCAAGCGTCTATACATTACTTGAAAAGCGAAATGCTTCCATGAGATTTTCATTTGCTTGTTGAAGAAAACGAAGAAATACTAAACATACCTCAAGAAGGTCACATACTTCTTCCTGTCATGTAGAAGAAGGATCCCAATCCCTTCACCAGTTTCTGAATAATACAAGGAAATTTGCATCCAGCTCCTTAAATTATATCTGGATCTGGTTTCCAGCCTGAAAAGAACATTTTATATAGCTTTATTTTGTCTGCCTCTCAAGATCTTTAAGGAATGTTTGTACTACAGTAGAAGCAAAGTGACAGAAATTCCATAGTGCCAACTCATCTTCTATTTGGGAAGGGAGTCTCAAAGCTACCTCTGACATTGTAGGATCATCAAGTCTACCATAACTGACTCCCACCTTCGACTTTACCAGCTACTCAGAAATTCCTGTCTGAACCCCTTCCAGCTGGTTTTCATGTAGCATACAACTTCATTTCCTGCGAAGTACACCACCAAATGCAAGTCCTCTCATTGCTGGTTAGTCAGACAGCTGCATGCATGATCATAAAACAAAAAACCAAACCAAGTGCAAGTGATGGGATAGCTTTTCTGGAGCAGGCAGTTAGAACAAATTATTCCCTCATTCTTCCCTTGTTCCATCAGCCCTGAAACTGTCTCTCTTGTAAATACCTACACCACTTATGTCTTGGTTTTGCATGACATTCTGATGCAGAGTCACTGTGAGTCACATTTCATAAAAATCTAACGCACACAGCAACATAAAGAACATTGCACTGAATTCTTTTGGACAAAATGTTACTAATAATGAACTATTAAAATGAAATGCTTTGCTGCTTCTTGTTTCAACTAGCATTCTGTGATACAGGTTAATGGAACGTGCAATCGAAAAACCACTAAGGTTGAACAGTGTTTCAATATATGCTTAAGTATCCTTCATAGTCTTCTCTCTCCAGCTTCTCAACAAAACACTGTGGGGTCAACACTGCTGGACATAACTTTTGATCCCTAGATATAAATGTGTCTTTATACTTCAAATGATAAAGAAAGGGTCACAAACATGGAAAAAAACCTAAGTATTGCCACTTTAGATCCCTGTCAAGAGATGCAGGTATACAATGACAATTTTCCTTTCAGCAGCATTTCAGACATCCTCCTCAGAGCATTACACATGTTTCTATCTGCTCCATGAGTATGTTTCTTCGCTTCATAATGCTCTTGATGTCTAAATTGTGAGCTACTCTGCATCACAAATTGCTCTCTGAGTTGCTCAATCCTGTTCAGGTTTTCTTAGCATTATTACAACAGCAGTTCAGGAACCAAGATGTCAAAGCATATAGAAGACTTACTTCTAGAGAAGGAAGTTGCTACACCAGCATGACAAACATTTCTTAATGCATTCCTGGACATGAAGCTAATCCATTGCTGAACACTGGTGATACACTAAATACAACATGACTTGAAAAAATCCTGTTTTCAAATGCAAATTCTGCAGATTCTGTAAGACTTTAAAATCTATTGTGACATGTAGCTTTCTGCATCTTCTTCAGGGGAAAGGCAAGAATGAAGAACATTTCAAACTCTGTCCAAGCTACTTCTGCTTTTTAAGCCTTTTTAACTTTTCTGGTGCAGCAGCTGAAAAAAGTCATAATTTCTTCTGGGAACATGTCCTGCTTCATGTTGACACTAGCAGATATAAATAGCTGTGAGCTGTACTGATAGGTATTTTCAGAACGGACAGCCAGGCATAGTGGTATTAATTCATGACAGCAGGAAAGGGAGGCATTAGCCCAAATGAAATACGAGAAATCCTTCATGCAAGAAAGGCTGGACAATGTCTTGTAAGGAAAAGCTAACTCATGCAGCTTCTCCTAGTGAGGTAAGATCAGCAATCCCATCTGGAATCCCAGCTCTCTGACATCACCAGCTCTTTAAATCACGGTGAGCTGAGAGAAAGGAAAATGCTGGCAATGCTTTGATGACATCCCTGAATATGGCTGCTTCTTGCCTTCCCTAGAAGATACAGAAAACAAGACTCATTCCCTTTTAAAAGGAACAATGCTGCCTTCCTACCCATGTTTTGTATTTTTGTTTTCTCCCACGAGAGCTACCACTGCTTGATGCATTACTGAATCAAACACCCAAGTAGAGGCCGAATAGTAGTTAGTATAAAGCCTGAAATGTCAAGAAAAGGCCTTGAGCTTCTTCCTCACATTTCCCCTACTTCCTGTTTTCCTTTAGACTAGCAATGCCTGATTATAACCTTGTACCTCCTAGTCAGAACTTGGGAGCATACAGAAGTAAGAGGTCCTGAAAGGTGAAAGCTAACTGAATGTGGCTGACTTGAGGTTTTATACAGGGTTTCTGAAGAGCTGTTATTTCATAATTACACTCCACTGCTTGTTGCACAGTGATGCCTACATATGCCAGTTCAGGAATCAACATCCCACATTATGGTTGGTGCTGTCTCAGCATCTGTGACCAAGTTTCTGCTCCAAATACTGTTTTTGTTACAAATGAAAGGATCAGGCAGAGGTTTAGTGATAGCAGCATGCGAACACTAGCACTCTCATGCTACTGAAAAACTGTTCTGTAGCTCCATGTGTATCTCAGATGCATGCTCTTTTAACTGCAAAAGCAACAAATGATGCAATAGATTTTCTCTAAGGCCATCCCCAGAAAGCTGGAAAAATTATAGAGCTCTCTCTTCAGTCTGGACTTGTACAGCATTTAACATCATACAAAGGTTCTCTCTAACCCCATTTATGCAAATTAATGCACTGTTAGAGACCTAAAAAAGATGTAGGATACTTTCGATGCAGTCTCCAGGCAGAAAATAGATACAGCATTCATGAAGTTTTCTGCATCTACCCAGCAAACATCACAGAAGGTCACAGAACAGCTGAAAGTTTGTATCAATCAGGCATGAATTTTTCTGTGTACCTGTGACTATGCTCTGCTTCAGCAGTGTCACTGTAAATTAACTCCTCAAAAGATAAATGCAGACAGAGTAAAAAGATCTTCCACCAATACTTTCAAGTGAAATCAGCATCTCATAATATCATCCACCATCTGCCTAAAAAAGGAATCCCCAAACAAGCTGGCTGAGAGCAAAGTAACAAGGGACTATGCCATTTAGACCTTTCAAACATCTTGGAGAACTATTTGACAGAAAAACGTTACAAATGTCATGGCCACTGAGTTTATCTGCTTTTATGTTTGTAACTGCAGTAAAGTGGAATTCCCAGTGAGTTCCTGAAGATTTATGCTCTTCCTGGGCCAGAGCAGGCTAATTGTTTGAATTACTCAACTGAGGTGTCCAGAAAACAATAGCTACTTGGACACTCAAAAAATGGCCAGCAAGCAAGTTTCAACTAACAATATCCAGAGATGCATGATGGTCCAGAGAAAATGGTTCAAAAAAAACCACCCTACCCAGATAGATTTCTAAGATGTATCCATAATGCAAAAGACACCAAAAAAGGTTATTCTGGTGCCATTCACAGAGAATTTTACAGGACTTTGATTAAGGTAAAGCTTAAGTTAGAGTAAAGCTAAAGACTTTAGTCTTTACTCAAGTAACAAGTACTGCTTCCATAGGTTTCCTTTCCCATTATTGTTTACTGTCCACGTATTAGAAAGGTCAATGTCCTTGATGCTGTTTATGCTGGTAAATAAATTCCACATGGTACCTCTCTGATGACCCACACCATATAGGGTAACAATGTCATGTCACGCTTCAGAGATATACAGAAACGATAAAAAATACCAAACACACAAATAAGAGTTAAAAATTGACTGAAGCTGGAAGTCACTCCACATTATACCTCTGGTTACATACTAACCTATTTAGCTATAGCTAGGGTTCCTTTCACAACAGTAAAAGGAAAAAATAACAGCACCCAGTGTCTGGCTGAACTTACAGATCAGTCATGGAAATCAAGGTTTTATTCTATTTTATACCAGTTATATATTATATTCTATTACTCTGCATAGAATATTCTATTCTCTACCACATTCTATGGCAGTGGCCTAGAAAAGCTGTCAATTCTATTCCCTTATGGTCACACAGCTGAACTCAGGGAGCCCTCTCTTACTTCCACATTCAGCCATAACTTGAAAAGATATACCAAAGAGGCCACGGAAAAGATTCACTAGCCAAGGCAGGAAAAAGAAATATCCTAACCACAAACTATTTCTCAGTCCTTTCTGCAGAGCTGACTTACAAATCCCATATTCAAATCCAGACCAAGCCAATTTAGAGGGTAGAGTAACAAATTCACTTGTCTGCCCTTCCCATCTAGGGAGCCAAAAAGAACGGGGAACACCCATCTCCTGAAAATCTCAGCTCAGATCAACCGGGACATCAGCAGGAATAGTAACTGCTTACTTTCAGAACACCTTTAACTTGCCTGTGGCATGACACAGAGCACACTGACTAGTGGTTGTAAACCCACTTGCTTAAGTCCTGAGCAGGGAAATGAATGTGTAAATACCTAGGATTTTTTTGCTTAATCATTCAGCTATGTAGGCAGTGTATCATTCTAAGCAATCCATTTTGGACAGAGAAGAAAGAGAAGACTCAATACTCTTCTTTCCTAAACACATGACTAGAGATATTCCCTCTCAAAAAAAGAATGTTCTTGCCTCAAACTGGAACTAGACATAGTAATTTTTATTTTTTAAATAAATTTGTGTGGTCAAGCTATAGCTCTGAAAGGAAACCAAACCCATATGAAGCTAGGAAAAATGTGAAATGATTTAAGAACGTTTCCAAAGCAAAGGCTAGATCAAAAGAGAGACTCTCCAAGACAGAAAGAGCCTGTGAGGAATCAGTGGTGATCCATGAAGCAGCTCAATTTGGTTCATTATTTATGTATCATAATAATACTTGGCAATTTTAACAAAAGGATGAAATAGCATCTTACAAATTTTGACTAATCAATTTGAAAATATTTAAGGACAACCGAGGCATGTTACAAACTGGGGTTGCTTTGGGGCTTTTCATTTGGGGTTGTGGGTTTTTTTGCATTTTTGGTCTGTTTTTAAGTCAACTTTCCCGAACTAACCAAGAAATTTCTGGAAGGGAGCTGAGGAGATCTGCTTTGCTGGCCCCAGTTTCAGATGGGATGGCATGCCCTCTGCCTTGTTTACATTTCACGAGAAGAAACTGAAGCTGAACCTGATAGGATGAAAGAGTTCATTTATCCTGTT